TTGGTAAAGAGTAGCCAAGAGTTGGCGGTGGGTGGTGATGACTAGCTGCCTTCCCTCTAGTCTTACACTGCTAAATTAGGGACGACTAGCGCAGATAGCCCTCGTGTAGCTTTGTGAGAAATTAAAAAAACAAACAAACAAACCTTACTCCTAATATCATTTTTGCATAGTTTAAAGAAGTTTCAAAAGGATCCCACCGTCCCACGCACGCACACACGTTATTCTTTTAATTATACAGATGCTGTAAAACAAAAACACATTTCCTATGTTTAAAGTTACCTGTCAGAACTTTAAGTATATATATATGGGTGTGGGCCAAGGATTCTTCAACAGTAGGTGTCTGTAACTTGTTGTCAATAACTTCGAACAATAAACGAACAGCACACACTCCACTTGTTTTAAAATAATATATTCAAAACAAGTTAAACATATGTACAAAAATTCTTTACACTATGGAGATCATAGTTGTATCTTAAACACTATACACTTCTCTTCTTCTTGTCAATAGTCCACTTAGGCTAATCAGGATCACTTGACAGGAGATGGTTTCTTTGTTTATATGTCGCGCAAAGCTACACGAGGGCTATTTGCGCTAGCCGTTCCTAATTTAGTAGTGATAGACTAGAGGGAAGGCAGTTAGTCAATAGCACCCACAGCCAACTCTTGAGCTACTCTTTACCAACGAAAAGTGAGATTGACTGCCTCGTTATAACGCCTCCACGGCTGAAAGGGGGAGCATGTTCCGTGACTGGTTTCGCACTAGCGACCCACAGATTGCGAGTCGAGCGCCCTAATCATTACGCTATGCCAGGCCTGACAGGTAATGGTCACTTCCCATGAGTGTTTGGATGCATGTGGAATGGTTATTTGTGCATACGATCGAAATAAATTAGTTTGTTTGTTAGTTTATAGTTAAGCACAAAGCTACACAAAGGGCTATCTGTGCTATACCTACAACAAGTATCGAAACCCGGTTTTTAGCGTTGTAAGTCCGCAAACATACCGTTGAGCCATTGGGGGGGGGTACGATCGACATATCAATACCCCTGGTGGGCAGAGCACAGATAGCCCATTGTGTAGTTTTGTGCTTAATTACAAACAAAAACAAAAAAAAAACATTTATGTTTATATGCATGTATATACTAGCAAACTGGTTGGTGGTGTTACAACCTGTGATGGCATGATAAACAGGTATGTAGGCCCCGACAAACATTTTCTGACGTTTGTTGAGATGTAACACGATCTGTGTTTCATTCCTGCATCTAACCACACTTAACTTGCATCTAGCCACACTTAATCTGCATCTAACCACACTTAATCTGCATCTAACCACACTTAATCTGTATCTAACCTATCAATAAAGTGAAGTAGTTACACTAATACATTAGTATGTCTACAACAGATTATAGTTTTGTTGAAGTCCGTACTTAAGGCATTGACTGTTTGCAGAATTATCCTTGTATCTTCGTACTTTACTTTTAGAGAATCAGGTACGGTGCTTGCTTTATCAATATCTGCAAAACCACCAGTAGTAATAAGGTTCAAGGTGTAACTCAAGGTGTTTATCAGCTCATTTGTGATTTATTTTCTGTCAAACTGACAAAATATTCCACTACTGATAGAGTGGGATATCTCTTCCCTCTACCTTTCATTCTGTCGGTTGGCGGTGTATGTTATCATGTACCAGTCTTCATAGATTATACCCATTAATTGTCGAATACCTCACATTTCATCACATATAAACAACAAACCATTTATAGTTCATGAATACATTTAACAGCGATGTGAACTTCGGTAACGGAATATAACGACATATCGTTTTCAGTGCACGAATGTATCATGAAAATTATGAAGCTTGGAAATATTCAGATTTTTACCGTTATTCTTACATAGACATCAATAGGGACAATATTTATTAGGGGTGAGTGTCTCATCATAGTAGTCGATACAATACGTGTCTAGATACAGAAGTTTTACCAATGGTTTGTTACAAAGTTTGACAGTCTTGTCTGTAATTTATTATCTATATTACTAACATTGTCTTATTTAAATACTTCACACTTTACAGTGCTTTTTCAATTTCTCAGGTTTGATCAACTAAATGGCAGCTGGCAAGAGAAGTAAAATAAAAAAAGTTAATATCTGTCTATCTATTTTTTTATTGTTAATTTGTTATGTTACTTTGTGTGTAATGTTTTTGATAAAATAAATGAAGACAACATGTAGTACTCAATACTCATCTTCATTTATTGAATTATTAATTTTTCCAAAAATACTTTATTAGAAATTCAGATTTTTTTCTGTACAAAAGATTTATAATGTTTACTGATAGCTTG